CAAGGGAGAATGAGGGGAAAGGGAAGGAAAGAAAACGGAGGGCTATATTTTCAATTTCAGTTACATCTGTGACTCAGTTTTTCCACACAGCTTCAACTTCTCCCTCCAGGGAGGGAAACTTGCCGTTTTCTTTTTTTTTTTCGTTTAAATTCAACGGAAGGCGGGCTCACACTGTCCTATATGCACACAGGGGTCAAAAAGAACAACACATAAAAAAAACTGTATTCGGAAAGTCAGAAATGGGCACAAATATACCACAGAGGTCCTTCTCCGGGTCAGAAAGGGGTTAGGCAGTCTATCAAAATACCCCCACACCCAGTTCCTTTATTTGCTCTGTATCAATCTCAGCATTAACCCGCTGCTAATGGGACAGCTGTGGGTCAGTGCCTCCTGTCTTAGAGATGCCAATCAAGACCTTAAGCTGAGAGATCAACCTTTGGGACAGAGGTGTTCGTCTGCCTCTGAGTGGCTTTTAAAACACAGAGACGCCTGTATTGATTTTAGCTCTAGCCTGAAAGAGAAAACGGGGGTGGGCGGCAGTGGTGGCAGTGTCAGCTGTGGTTCTGTGTGTCTGGACGGCAGCCAACCCGTGGTCCCTGGTCACCCTTCACTGATCGGGGTAGGGAAGGCTGGGTGGAGGGGGTGCTCCAAATGACCTAACAGAGAGACGCTGAACCTGCAAACACGGAGGGGCCACGGAGTTGGAAGCTCGGGGGGTTCGGGGCTAGTGGGGTGACATCAGCAGAGATCTCATAATAGAAAAGGGTTTTAACCTTAATGTTGGAGCCAAAACCTTGTTAGGGGCCTAGTAATACCCCCTGTGCTGCTGTCATTTCAACTAGTTGATTTTTTTTGTTCTTTTTTGGACACCCATCCCCATGTATGAGTGGATTGAAAAAGGCAATGACACTGTCATTGTTTTTGGCAGTTCACAACATGTGCTTTACGCCTGAGAATTTTGATTATTTGTTGTTTTTATTTATATGGAAAAAAAAAGAATCTGAAAGCTGGAAACTTGCTGAGGTTTTCCAAACATACAGGAACTTCACCTTTGCCTGTCACATTCCAAGCACATACTGTGAACGATTCATTGGGCTTTCCTGACCTAAAAAACATTCAAATGTATCACTGTGAAGTTGAACTTTAACATTTTTACAAATAAAAAACTTTGAACCTTTTACAGGCATTTTCTATCCTACATTACTTAACCACAACCAACTAAAATTTAATACAAACAATTACATGCAAAAAAGCACCTAATTTGTACCACCTGTGTAGCATTTATGTGTTTTTGTTCTTAAGAGAACATCAGCAATTTGCTGGAGGACAACAAGAACATTCTTTGGCCATGGGAGATATAAACTATTATTTTTTATTGAATGCAAATGGCAACGTGTGGTGGATTACAGTTATCACACCCACTGAGAAGTATAAGTTTTAGTGAATGAAACTAAGCTTCTTCAAAGAGCAGATCTGGGCAGGAAGGTGAATGCAAATGCAGACCACACCTTTCAGGCTTGTATTTTCAAATACGCTGCACTTTGTGTTCATTTATTAAATTACATACACTAAAGTTTGAGTGTTTATAACTTTACAGGATATAAGTACCTATGACCAGCTTTCAGTTTGAATCGAAATGAGAAACAGAAAAAGACTCTTTAATGATTAAAATCTGTATGTGTACCCTTCTTTTTAATGTGCACTTAAATAATTAGGAATTGAGGTATGCATATCTAATCAATTGGCTCAACTACTTTGGCTATCTTAAAGAAAAAAAAATGGTGAACAGTCTTGGGCACTTTGAGTAAAATATGCTAATTAACACACTTGAAATTTCCCATATGAAATCTATTTGCTGCAAGACAATGAGAAAATAATTACAACAGAGGTAGAATTACAATGACCGTTTTAATCAACCCCTGCACTAGCATTTCACCCTATTTATACAGTTTTTGATTCCATGACCCACTGGTAAGTAATCACTTGAAAATTACGGTGCAGTTTGTGATAGGCCTATGCTTTGGAGGCAGTTTTTCTGCAAAGACAGAGCTCCAGGGATTACAATAAAGATATGAATCTTGCAAAACAACAATCAGCACAGACCTCTAATAACTGGCATAAAGACTCAAAGAAAAGCAAACTGACATGAGGTTAAAAGTCTCAAAGTGCCCCAGGCTCTTTGAAAGGCGCATAAGGTAATGCATGGGGTGATTGCGGTGTCGGAATCAACACCGGATAAACATCTCGTGTATCCAACGTGTGCATTTACAAAGTCGAGTAAAATTGTGCAGTCCTGTCCGATTAAATCCGTTCTGCGTCTATTATGCGAGGGGTGTGGAAGGTCACAAAGTTCATTTCAAAAAGGTCAACTCTTCTTAAAAGGTAATAAACTCAAACGTGTGGCACCAATGAGTCCAATCTGAGATTCACACAAAGGCAAGACTTGAAGCCTTTATTTTGAGGTGGGAGTGATTTATTCTGAGACGGTGGCTCGAGAGGAAAGGCACTGTTTGCAGAGATATCAGCCGTAAGAGCATTGAAGGATGTCTCTCTCCCCAGAGGAATTCTCCCACCTCACCCTGGATGGCAGATCGAGTGACGGACGATTCTCTGAGAAAGGCAGCGAACACTGCCGTCTAACAAACCAGAGGGCTCTCCAAGGGTCATAGACATTTTTTTTAATGGGAAAAGTTTAAACTTTTTAGACAATTTTAAAGTATAGATACTTTGTAGTTCTTCTGGTTACAACTACAAGAAGAATTCAGAGGGATTAGATTAAAATATGGATTTTTAAGACAATACTGAAGTATACAAAAAAGAAGTTTCAATTCCTTTCTCCTTTTTTCCAGACAGACAAATTTCAGACTTTGTAATATCATTCTTATTTGAAATAGGTTAGTTTATTTTACAGCTCTCTACGATCACCATTCACTACTAATTCCTGCGATTGCACCCTGTGTCCTACGAGTGCCCTGTAGTTATGCAACTGCTGGCCAACTTTAGGAACTCACTTCAAGAGGACCGATCCAGCTGATGTAATGGCTGACCTGTCAAAACAGTGTTATTGGAGCTGAAATGGGATCGCTGTTGTTATCAAAACACCATAATGGACTTCCTCTTGTAGAGAAAACTTATTGTCCAGATACAGTACACAAGTTCTAAATCAGACAGCCGGGGGAAAAGAAAAGCGCAAAGGCTCAGATGTAGGCAGGCAGATGATTTCTTATTGATTTCCTGTTTCTGCGGTGGAGAGGGCTCTCAATTATCCCTAGCAGCAAGCATAGCACCCCCCGAACACAGCTAAACTACAGTGAGCCCATGGGACTCAGTGATATAAATAAGCTAAGTTAACTCAGCCAAAATGGATTCTCAACTTAAAGGGGTAAAATCAATTCCAAGTCAAAAGTGATATCCAAGACCTAAAAGTAAACTTGAACTTCATTGCACCATTTTGACTTAATAACATATTTTATTTTATAATTATTTTTTTTCCTCCTCTGGTAAATAAGCCACAGCTAAGTGATTAAGCTTAATAACAAACAAAAGAAAAGAAAGAAGGAGGAAAAGGGCACTCTGGAAAAGTTAACAACTGTGAAACAAAAGAGACCTGTAGTCAAGAATGGTGTTAAATGAAAACACGATCCTTATTACAGCAGCAATCAGCTGCTATTAGCCCATGTTGTCACATCTCACTCCTCTCAGGAACAATGAAGCACGCATACACAAAGCCTTTTAGTCGCGTTTCACTCTGTGACCTGCAATCTATATCTTTGCATGGAGTGGAATTACTGTGCAACTAGGTTTAATTAGAATTGCTTCTAAATCAATGGCAAATTGCTGTTTAGCAGAGCCTTGCTGTGCTCTACATTTGCATAAAACAATATGATTAGATCAGAGTCACGAGAAAGTTTCCAGTCTGAACCAGAAGAAATGCCACAAAGTACGCAGCAGCAACGGCTGAAAGGTTTTTACGGGAGACTTTTTGTTTCTAATTAGAAAGATGCTTCCAGAAGTTCACAAAACTTTACTCCGAAGCATTTCAGATTTGTCCATTTCTGAATTATGTAATTAAAAGTTCACCCTGAATTTACACCTGATAAGTGGATAAACAGTCGAGTTGTTGGTTGGATGATTGACAAGCGGTTTGTTGATGGACGGACGGAAGGAAAGGACCAACATAAGAGACCCGCGAATATATAAAAAAAGAAAAGAGGACATCCAGACAGATTGACAGAGGATAGTTGGATGGACTAATGCAGTTAGAAATGTTGATGAACAGACATAAGAATGGATGGATGATAGACGAAAGACAGACAGATTTATGGATGATAGACAGATGATTAATGAACTGGACAAGTCTATTCCCCACCACCCCAATTTTGCAAACCTGGAAGTTACTTCAACTAAAATACACTTTTCCCAGTCTGCAATAACATCCTGTGAAGAGGTAAACGTTGGCACCGGGTAAAAGAAATTACATGTAGGACTCAATCGATACACGAGGACGGCCAATGTCTGAGTACATGAGGACGGCCAATACCACAAACCGGATTTCCCATCTTGCAAAACACATGGCTGAGGGTTTGGAAGAAGTAAAAATGGCCAATTGAGCCAAGTCTTGGTCATAACGTCAGAATAAGACAGCCGGCATGTTACACTCACTTGCCAAGAGGCCGAGCTGCTATCTGGGTATTACTGTAATTGGAAACAGTGAAGCTAATATTTTAGTTGGCCAACTGACCCTAACACAGGAACAGCATAACAAAAGCTTTTCCTATAAGGTGAGAATATTGCCATTAGAAAAAAATCTGACTAAAAGCTAAGCAGTTTCAAATGTTGAATAACAGTCACTTGCAGCAGTTAGGCTGATCTGGCATGTTAAATACTTTCACTCTCTTCAATTAAACGCCTCATTGTTTATTATTTAGAGAGAGAGAAAAAAAATAGCACAAAGATGTACTGCTGTTTACCCACAGTTTCCCCGAGTCATTAAGACTTACTCCTCACAGGCTTGCAATAATTAAGCTTCTCCTCCGTCACGTGACTTTGTCCTTCAGCGGATTGTTTCCTAGGAGAAGGAGCGCTTCCTGATGATTCACTGTCACAAGCATCTGGGGAGAGAAGTCACAAGAAGTGGATGTTAAGTATGACTTAAAATGAAAAATCAAAGTTCCTGCAGCTGCATGAATATTTACATACAGTCCTCATAGGCAAGTAAGTTATTTTGTCGTGAGGCTTGTAAGAATTTATTGAAATACAGAGAGTGTGGCGTAATACATACACTCCAACAAATATTTGGTTTAAAATCCATCTGGTTGATTCATCTTTATGGCAGAAGAGGTGAGTTTGTTTCCTGGTACAGTAAACAATTTTATGGCATAGCTTGGACTATGTTTACACGAGACCACTGTCTGGATACCGATGGTGTTTTGGAATATATATAATATCCACTGTTGTTATGTAGCGCTGTGTTCTTAACAAGTCGTCAAAACATGTATGCACTTTTAAACCGTTAGCTTCCACCTTCACGTATCCGTCTCAAATGAACAAAGTATAAGGAGCACACACAGGACAATGCTATCTGTCCATGCAGAACACACCCTCACCTGAAATCAACAGCCCACTTGGAAACAAATGGGTTTTCTAAAAAGGTAATGATCCTGACACCATGAACACTAGTCTTGCAATAGATGAAAATTTGTGAATTCTGTGAGTAGATGTTGTGTGTACATATCAATTGATTTAAATAAACCCCTATTATTTCTGATAAGAACAGTTGCAAACTGGGGCAGCACTGTGCCATAGCCCAAGTAAAGATCACAAAAAAAGTGTATGATTAGTGACTTTTAACCAAATACTTGTGGGGATGTATGCATCTATGTGAGGATTAGAGAAAATCCACACTGAAAAACAAAGGTGTGCTTCGAATTTATTTCTTTTATGCAATAAAGTTACATGGTGTGAACTGCTCAAAGCATTATTAAACAATCTGCAAACCAACAGCATATTAATGGCCAAAAGTGGGCATAACCTTCTGATCGCCGAGAAACAAGATTACCTATAAACACTTCTGTACCAAATGTTAATATTCCCGTTTGGGTTGGTCGTACCAGACCGAATATCAGCTGTGTAACCTGTAGGTGCAAAAGGCCGCCCTCCTTTTTCACGCCAGCAAAAACAACCTCCTGGCAACGTGTGCGACATGGTGGGATGGTTCAGGTGAAAGTCCCTGCCAGAGCTCTGGATCTCATTTTCTTTCTCCCAGTGCTCCCCTGTGTGCTCTACCTGCCAATATTCCTTTCCTTCTATAAAGGCTGCATTCATCTAAATTGGGAAAGAATCCAGGCAAAAAAATAAAATAAAAACTAAGAAAAAAAAAACGGCCTGATAGCCATGCACATACACACGAAACTCTTAATCTCAAATTGGCTTCCTGTGTTTAACATTATGGCTTGTTTATTGCATACTAATGCTTTGATGTGAAACTGAATCAAGTGTTTGACCATGGAGCAGGCCTGATGTAGCTTTTCTTCACTGTAATAACAATCCAGTTTGCAAGCAGTGATGGATAAGTGGTCAGAGGCGTAAGATAGGAAAACTCGAAGTGGACACATGTTGAGATCAATTGGAGTATTTAAGCATCACAATTTACTTAAAACCAGCCTATATCAAGCAGATCCACCATCAACCGAAGGGGAAAATCCACCAAAAACAAAAATGGAATACATTTACAATCCAGCAGTCCCATGCGATTGCTCACTTTGTCCTACTTTCTTATTTTTGTTCCTTTTCTTTTTGAAACAGTGCCATAATGATGATCGGTTAACGGTCTGTTGCTTGTTTGAAGAAAAATTAAAAGCGGGTGTGGGGGTAAGCTTATTTTACATGTGATAATCTTAGGGGCAACTGGAAAGTTAATTAAAAAATATAATTGGCTGTGTGGTTGCTGTTAATAGTCAGCAGGGTGTTTCCTCCAACTTTATGAAGGAAAAAAAAAAAAAACAGGCACAAACATTATCAAGGCTTTCAGACTAGCGCACAGATAATGACTTTTACTGAAAGTTGCCTGAAAGTATAAGAAAATCCCAACCCAGAGCTACTGTCATTCATGTTTCCTGTTTATTTTTTTTAACGAAAGTTTCGAAATCGAATACGCAAGTATATTTATATCTCAAGTTTATTGGATGAACCAGAGGGAGAGCTAGATGAACACAAGAGCTGTACGTGTTTCACACATTTTAGCTTTCCAGCTACAGATGTGTGATGGATGTTCTTGAACGAATAGTGCTCTGGGCAAGAACCTACAAGAATCTAAAGGTCAAGGTTTATCTATTGTACTCTCTGTGCTTGTCTGGATAAAAGGTGGCCAAAATACAAAAAAAAAAAAACTTTGATCTGAGCAGTACAAGTACTTCTCGTAATTAAATTCCTGAAGAAACATCTATCACTGCATATCACAAACACCAGAAAGTTTTCCATACCCCTGCCCTCCTCTGAGTGGGCATGAAAATAATTATTGCTGTTGCCAATTTGGCGATTTGATATCATAAAGGGTCACTCTAACTCTTCAAAAATGCAGATCTTGTCCAATAGTGGAGACTTGGATCTCAAATTATTGGTTTTTATTCTGCTCAATACTCAGAGGGAGCTGTCATGGATCTTATGCACGACCCAAAACACTCACAGGCGCATCAGTCGTGATGCATCTGTTCCTCTCAGCTGCTGTCAGAGCACTTATGCATTCACTTCTCCACATATGAACTGCAAATGAAACTTGCAGTAAGTAATTCATCGCATAATAAATTAAACTGAGTTTGATCATTTCCATTCTGATCAAAATTTTGTTTACAGAGAATTCATAATCCAGTTTCTTTATGGTTGTGTGTGACTTTTATTTATTGTTTTTAAGTGTTGTGTTTTATTTTCATCACTTTGTCTTCCAGTGTTCTGCACAAAGTTAAAGTTTATTAGCCTTTGAGAGGACAAACCTGCATTATTATGCCATTACTCTCACATTAAACAAGAAAAAGCGTTCCCAAATTTGTTTAATCTCCATCAATCCCACGCTGGGATATAGAAGGAGAATTAGAAATGTGACAATGAAAAATATTGATTTTAAAAAAAGCTATTAATTTAAGCATTTTTAACTCATTTTGTCTCTCCCACTGAACTATTAACCTTCACTACGGGGGCCACTAGAATTACATACAACCTCCTGATCGCCGAAAAACAAGATTACCTATAAAGACTTCTGTACCAAATGTTAATATTCCCGTTTGGGTTGGTCGGACCAGTCCGAATATCAGCTGTGTAACCTGGAAAATGGTCTTTCCTTTTCTGCAGACTCAGGTTAAGCTTTTTTTTTTTTTTTTTTCCTTCACAACCCCTGCTGCCCGCCACCAATCCTGCCACTCTGGGCAGTGAGTCCCATTGCCCAGCTGCTGCCAGGCCAACAATTGCCACATTTAGGGATTTTTTTTTTTTTCTTTTTATTTATTCCACCACCGCTTAATGATATACAAGTTATCCATTCTGACAAGACCTCTGTGGAACCCCAAGACTTGACATTAACCTAAATTCGCCGAACACACACCTAAAGCCACTGATTAATGGCCTGCCTTGTGCTCCCTTACCGTGCGACGCCAACAGCAGGGGACTTGTCTCTTGCCGCGGGCCCTGTCCTGGACCCGCCGGCCCTTCTGATGGATGGACAGTCTCCTTGGACATGAGACAGTCGTCCTCTTCGAAGGGAGACAAAAAAATAAAAAAGATAAACCTCCAACAGCAGAAGTAGTTCCTCCTTCTGTTCCTCAGCCCTCAGTCCTGCAAAAAAAAAAAAAAAAAGCAATAAGTCTCACAATCTGCGAGGCGTTTTCAGACACGAAGCAAAACTATGGAAGTCGTTACTCAAACTGCTTATTCACACGCCGAGGAAAGTGACGTCGAGCTCCAGTAAAACTTAGTGGAAATTTCCCTCCACGCGCGCTTTCTATAAACTTTACTGAAAGAGTTTATAAGAGTTCACGGTCTGCCTTGCTTTTTTCCCCCTTTCTTTCTTTTTGTTTCATAGCAAGAAAGAATAAATTGCGTCCCACTTACCTTTCAAACATGACAACTCTCTCACTTCAGCTCAAATGTGACTTATTCCCATCCTCCTTCCCCTCCTTCAGCTCGTTCCTCAGAAACGCCAGGAGGGGAAAACAAAAAACAAACAAACAAAAAAAAACACCATAAAAGACAACAACTTCACAGCCGACACTTCACCCCGACTCTCACTGTTCTACATTCGCGGTCCGAGACGGTCCGGACGGGTTTTGACGTGCAAAAGTCGAAAACATGGTCCTCCTCGACGCCTTCGGCGCGCAGCTGCGGTAAGTTTACTCGGGACACTTCAGCTCTGAAACATTTTCATCACATCCGGATTCCAGCAGCGCGGCTCGCGGAGCCTCACTTTTCTTCTCGCGCTTCTCTCGCCTTGGAGACAGGGAGGAAAAACAAAGCCCTCCCTGTTGGTGTTTACCCAGATTTACCAGTGTTTGCGCGCGCACGAGAGAAAAATAAATAAATAAATGTAAATAATTTTGCATGATGGAAATTTTTCATACTGGGTTACAGTATAGCTATTTAACAAAAATATGTCCAAAAGTCTCTCTGAGACAAACCTTTCCTAGAAGGTTTATTCAAATATTTAACTAAAAAAAACAACAACAACGAAAAAAACTGAACACCAAGAAAAAAACAAACATATGAAAGTGTAAATATGGTCTGAAATGACTGTTGTTTATGTTGCTATTGCTCACAAAATGTACTCTGAGGTTTTTTTTTTTTTTACTTAATTGTCCGTTGTCATTAACTTTGAGTGCTCTCTTTGTTTTTCCTTTCCCTGGATGCATTCACTGAGTTATTGTTGCGTTTATTTATTTATTTTTTTCACTTATTTAATAGAAAGTGCCCCGGACCAGAGCTTCTGTGTGTTGGTTTGATGGAGAGAACCGTTAATAACACTTGTTTCCATTAATATTGTCCGTTTTTTGTTTTCTTCTTTTTCAGCAAATGGCTCAGTAATTGTGTCTGTAATCTCAGTTACTTATTTATTTATTTTTTTCTTGTCCATGTTTATTTTTAGAGTCGAGTTGTACCTTTTCACTGTTGTCACAATCTTGCTCAGGAAGAGGAGCTTGTTGGACAATTTTATTATTTTTTTAAATGAGTCAACTGATATTTTTTAAAATATTTTTTTCTCTGTTTTTAGATTACCTGAGTGACTGCTGTACTACAGATTCAGATGAATTGCATTGAGTGAAATTTGAGCCAATTCTTACTGCACAATCAGACTGCCCTGGAATGATTTACACTAATATGAGCTGAATTTGGATCAAATTGTCTTGTAGAGGACCTTAAGATTGCTTGTTGCAAATTGTTACTATTTCAATTGTCATCTAATTGAACATTAAAGTGTAAGTGGTGCTAAACAATGTAGCCCAAATGTTGTTTCAGGGATACTAACATGGGCCGCAAAAAACATCTTTAAGATTTTGACCATGACTACTTTTGGTAGTTAGCTAATATTCTAAAAAAAAACTTTTAAAAACTGAGTTTGCCTGATGGATTCACTTCAGTTTACTGGTTCTAAATTAACTAATACAGAACAGTATCTATTGCAGGCCTTTTGCAACGACACTGTGTTTCTAATTACTTTTGGGGTCCTTTACATGTCTGCGACAACTGGTAGACTTTCCCTATCTTAGTAGACAAAGTTAAGTCTCGGTTCATTCAAGGACAGCAGTCAGCTGAGACTGCAAGAGAGCATGAGCAATCATTAAATCATCTAAATGGAATGTAGACATCAGAGACACCTGAGTGTTTGTTGCACTGAGGTGCCAAACTGTCTGCTGTGAAAAACCTTTCTTCAGTTGTGATGTTGCTGGTTAAAAAAAACTAAGTGAAACATTACGTTAAACCCCCTCCGAAGGGAAACACTTGAGAAAGAAAGTGAAATGAAACCAACTGATTAATCATTTTTTAATCCACCTGGACATTTCTTACACCTTAAGAATTGTTGGGAGTGACAAAGTCCCGGGTTTCATCTGGGGGTCTTTCGGTGAGAAGCTTTCGTGTCGCACCTGTGCATGCGTGAGTTCTTTCCAGCTTCCTTCCACAGTCCAAAAACAGGACGATTGGGTTAACTGGTTTCTCAAAATTGTGTATGCATGCTTGCTAGACTTGTGTATCCTTGGTGCACTCCATCTCTCACCCAGTTATTACTGGAGATAAGCATCAGCCCATCTACTTTCTTATATTGGTGGCCTGAATTACTGGACTTGATTGAATAAGGTATTCTGCTTAAACAAAGGTGTATTTTTTATCATGAAGCAGGTCAATGGTCCAAAGCATAACAGATTGGCGTAAAGAAACTAAAGGTTTTTAAGGTCTTGGAGTGGCCTAGTCAAAGTATGAATTTAGGTGTTGTGGCAAGACTGTAAATAGGCAGTTTATGTCAAAACATCCTCCAATATTGCTAAAACAAAAAACAACAAAAAAACTCTTGAAAACAGAATGGGTTAAAATTCCATTGCACTGATGTAAGAGTCATTATCAGTTAGTTACTGCAATAGTTTAATGCGAGTTAAGTGAATAATCTCCCAATATCAAGCCTGTGACAAAACATTGCATGTTTTCAGATTTGCAAAATGTATGCCAGAAAAGCCCCATAGATCCAACGTGCCTCTTTGTAGGATGGTGCAGGGAAGTCACGGGAGCTTGCCTGTTGCGTTGTTTGTTTGGGAGCAGACTCCCTATTCTCCCAGTAAAGCAGGGATTAGGCTTGTTGGCGTTTGCGCCGACTGAGCCAGAGCTCCTCTTCGCCACTACACACTCCAGCAATCAGGCAGGCTGCCAAACAAACAGATGAAGTCAACAGAGAGACGCTTCCTCGTGTCTTCTGAGATGTGACTGCAACAGATGCAACGCTGACACCCGCACACTTGACACAGTGTGACAACCCTACTGTGTCTACACAGCCAGCTCCACTTTGACTTATTTCGAAAGGGAGGGAGGGAGGTAGGAGAGGGTGACACTGCGCACATGATCACACACAAGATAATGTTTGTCAGCAGCAACAGCGGTGTCACTGTGTCGGATACAAAGACTGACAACAGGGGTTGATTTCACGGTGCAGTACTGTACTTGAAAAGATTTCCATATCGGAGGGTGAGAGGGTGGGTGGGCTTGCAGTGGATATTATGCTCAGATCATGATTTATTCCCTCACAAATGCTCATCGCAGAGGTCAAAATCCAATCACTTAAATCCATTTTTCAACCTTCTTCGTCCTCCGTACTTCAAATTTCCACAGACACCCAGACAGAGCAACCGAAAGCACTGCATGCTGGTTAATGGAGTTTCGAGCTGCTCTTGGGGATGGAGTGAGGGAGTATCTGTATCCAGGTAATTACAGTGTGAGGGAGCACAAAGGTCCTCCGTGATTACACATCAGGCCTGTAATGGATTCAACAGTAACAGACGTAGAGAGCGAGAGAGGGAGGAAGTGAGCGAGAGCGCATTCCTTACTTTCCCCCATTGTGAATGGGGCGGCTGTTGGCTGGCAAGGTAGGGTGCGCTAGGGGTAGGTATATCTGCAAGATGGATTACGCGGGGTTTGCCGAGTTCAACATTGACACAGATTCATCGTAAATCATTATGCTCGGGACCCGGAGTGATTTCTGCATTAGGAGCAGAAAATGGAGTTCATCCAGTCAATGAGGGAGGGCATATTTCACATCAATCACCTCCACACTCATGTTACTGAGGCTTAAATCTCACTTATGCTGTTACCAATAGGGTTCAATGGCTATGATGACAATCAGCAGAGACTCTGCACTAACAGTAACCTACTGACTACAAAGAGGGCAGAGCAAAGCGGCTGATCGGTTCAAGTAAATAATATATGAATCGAAAGAGAGCAAAAGAGGAAAGTTTCAGATAACAAGGTGAGCATTATAATCCCCCTTTTTTTTTTTTTTTAGCGGTGAAGATCTGTTGCCAAACTTTACATCTCTATTGCAACAATTCTGCTTAATCTCTTCAAAGAGGTAGGTTTGGTCAAAGGAGTGCACGCTTGAGTGGATTTAATCAGACTGTGTCATAAAGTTTTAGACGCAGACAAAGAAAAATAAAAGAAACGTGTAGCATTTTGCTCTGTCCTCTGATCGCTCTAAAAGTAAAAAATTGCAACACTGAAGCAAAGAATTTTGTTTTCCTGTCGGAGCCATTGTTGTTCCAAGACTGAAAACTCTGTAGCTAATCATCCCAGTCTTACCTTTTAAATATATAGTCTTAATAGAAAGGACACATCAGGAGTCAGGAATTTAAACAGCATTCAAACTTTGACTATGCCAATCTCTACCAATTAACCTGAATCCACTCCAACAGGGAAAAGTCAGGGGTTTGAATTGTTGATTTAAAGTTTTAAATCAACAATTTAAAACTTGTCTGTGATGTCTTCTACTTTTCAAATGTTAATAACTACTCTTCATCTGTTTAAGAGTATATTACGTCATTCCTCAGGGTTTGACATCGGTCCAGTTCAGGTTTTTTTCATATGTGCTTCCTTTAGGCTACATTATCAGAAAATATGGCACTCACTTTAAATACTATGCTGATGACAGATGACTCTAATTAACCTAAGTATCTATGGAAGTTACAGGCTTCTTTTTCAAGAGAGAGAGAACTGAAAGTTAGTGATTTTTTTTTTATTTGCAGTAAAACAAAAACTCAAATTTTTCTTTCCAGATTTTCTTTCAACTCTCAAGTTAAAAACAAAAAGAAAAAAGGACAACTTCTGTTTGAGAAAATTTGATTTCCCACATATGTCAGAAGAATAACTCGTTGGTTGTAATGCTTAAAACAAGTTAAGCCTGCATGCTTGCGAATATATGTTACAGTCATTGACATGAGGAATCTTATTTTGTTCATTTCAAATTACAGAAAGAGTTATGAACAGAAAAGCTTCACAAACTCCATCTCTTTTCTGGGTCCCAGAATTTAACCTCAAGCTTTACGACGCAAGGAGAAACCCATATATTAACTCTGCCTAGAAACACTGTCAGGTTCTTTTTTATGCAGCAGGCGCTCCATCAGAGAGCTAGAAGACAGTACAAATATTTACTGCAAATAAATCCAAATTACAGCATTCTTTTGCTGCAAATTTACGTTTTGGAGTCGCAGTTACCAGAGTGATAAATGTCCTTCAGGTTGTTAGAAAACATTTTTGACTAACCAACATTAGTGTGAGATTTCACAGGTGTGACTCCTTTTTAAGTCAAAGTAGGAAGAGATCTGCACATTTCATCAGAAACCTTCAGAAAATGTTTTTATAGAGGAAACAATGC